AGAGTGGAATAATGTGTTTTATTTGTAGGTTTTCTAAGTCTAGCTGGCTATGATGGGAGTAAGGACAACCAGTGGTGTATTGCTGGTTATTTTGAAATCTATATAGATATAGTTATACTTCTGCTCTTTTTCTTCCTTTATTTCAACAAAGCCAACTGAAGTTGAAGAAAAAGCAATTAAAAAAGTGGATGAGCTTCTTGAAACATACATGGGGATAAGAGATATTGAATTAGGTGAGTTTTTAACAGCTGTATTACTACAAGATTAGATGATTTCTCATTTTCTGTAGTCTAAAATTTACTGAGTACTTCAGTCTCTGGATATAAGTAAAGGAAAATTTATCCAGAATGCAGTCTTAAAAAATTGCTTGTATTTCTCCAAATGTGTGTGTCTTATAAAACAAAGGATCTCTTACTACAGGCCTTATGATGTAATTAATTTTCCTCTGCTATTCCTGCACATTAGCTATACACTATTACATTAATTACTAAATGGGTTGCCATTAACTGTCACTACTGTATTCTTTCTGGCATATATTTTCTTGTGGAACTTGTGTTTACTCCATGTAAGGATTGTTTGCCTTTTTCCTCTTTTGCTCCTTGGCTTAGACACATCAAAGTTCATCATTGAAATCTGAACCTGAGATCTTAATCAGTGAAAGGGCAATGAGTTAGCAAGGGAACTGACAGAGTAATTATCCAAATTTATCAAATTCTCTTAAGCCTGTGCTCTGAAGAACATGGGAAATATTCCATAATATTTACTAACTATCACAATCGTCAATTTATAATGAAAGAAGCTACTCAACCCCAGCATCGTATGTTTCTTAACATGGAACACACCTGGGAACGGTGTGTGGTGCTGCCTCTGTGTTTAGGTTAAGGAGTGTCCCATGTTCTGCTGCTCTACTGCAGCCTCCACTGCTCTGTCTGTCTCTGGCTCAGGCTTCAAAGCTTCCGAGTCTTGTGCCAGCCATCTCTCCAGGAGCTGTTTTTGTCCTGCAGCTGCTGCAATCCCAGCTTGAGCCTGGCTTCTGGAGGCTCCTGTCCTTATAGGTTACTTCTGAGGTCCCTAGGCTCCTGGCCCTACAGGAATAAGTGGCTATAGGTGTTCTGGTTTTGGTGTATATAGCCCTGAACCTGAGACCCGAGTCCAGAGCATGGTTTCTTGGGATTTTGAGGTGTGCTCTGCTCTGGAACAAGGAATCAAATTCCCGTGGGAACTGGTCTTTTCTCTGTTCTTAGCTCTCAGTACTGAAATGGGATGGCTCTTCTAGAGTAGACTGAGGAGTTCAGCTTTCAGCACATATGGCTGAGCTGACTGCCAAGCACCTGGTAGAGTTTTCCCATGAATTACTTGATTCTTTTTTTCCAAAAGGTCTTGTGTCTCATCTTTCAGTATGTAGTTTGGAAAGACTCAAAGAATGCCTTAAAAGAGCACTCACAGAAGGAAGAGGTCTTTGTCTTAAAAAACACTCTCCTCTTCCCAGCTGAGTTATTTTGCTCCTCACCTCTTTCTTCCTCCCCCAAAAAAGCAGTGAAACAAAGGGAAGCTGTCAGGAATCAAAGACTACAGGGTTCATGTAGCTTTAGTTTACAACTTTGAAGCTGTTTCCTGAAGTTCAGATCTTAACCATTGAGGGCCAATGGTGATGATGAAAAAAAAGGTTTATCATTTTGAAGCAGTTAAGCAGCTCTAGGACTCTCTAGGAAAGGAGAGCTAATCACCTGTCATAAATCTGTTCAATTAACATATGTCAGTTTTTCACATACTGGATGTGATCAGTCACCCATGAAAATGAAATATGAGGAATGGATTCATTCAGAGAATGCCAATCACCACTCAGCTAGAAATTTCACTCATTACTCAAGGCAGTTTAGTTGAAAATGCAAGTCATCACAACACGACAGTCGACAAGTGATTAAGATCTCAATCATTGCTCACTCCCGTGCAGTTCTGTTTGTCAGAAGCTTTGAATGTCAGTTAATATTGCTCTTTCATCTCCATTTAAATGACACTTCCATGGTGTGATTGAGTTCTAAAACAGAGCCCCAGTTTTAAACCAGAAGTTAGAAAGGAAGGAAAGAAAAAATAAAGTAAAATTACAGACAGAATTAAAGATGAGATAAAGCCCTTAATTTTTGCATAGTTAAGTATCTTGACAGTTTCAAGAATGGCTGACTGTATCTACACACAAATCCCTAAGTTGGAGATAAATGCCTGGAAATAATTTAATGGAAATGCATATACTTACTTTTATTTAGCACAGTTTTTTATTTTCAGAGGTCTAAATGCTGTTGAGATTTCCATACCTGCCTTTTGAATACAATTTTACCCTTTTTGCCTCACTTTTTAAACTGAAAACTGGGCTTAATCTGCAGAAGGGACACCTGGCTCTGGAAACGTGTCCCTCAGCCATTTTCTGGGCACATCAGAAATTGAGCCAAGGCTTGACTCCAACTTTCTTTGAAACATAAATGTGCCATTGAGAGATAACTAAGGTTATTTGAAATCCTGTCAGTGCTTTCTGGTAAAGGAACACGAACAGTTGATTACTAGGACAGGAGGATTAGGAAGCAGAGTTAATATAAAATACTGGTGGTGTTTATTTTTTAAATCAGTGGTGTTTGAATTGTTATTGACCTTGTTTGATCCCAAAGACTCTGGGTGGGAGGAAGCCTGAATCTATGGGATCCAACTTCAGAATGCTACTGATGGGAAAATGGTGGCAAAAAGAGTTTCCTGTCCAACTTTTGAACTTTGAATGCTGGAAACTGCAATGACATGCTGCATTTTCAGTCATGTTATAAGGGAGTTGAATGTGAGTTTTAACGCTCAGAATATTTGTTACCTGTTGATGAAGACAAAACTCTTGATACTGTTACAGCTAAAAAAATACTGATTTTTGTTAAGATTTCTGAAAGTTTTTAAGTAGCTACAGAGTAGAATTTAAGCAGCAAAACCACTGTGTAAGGTTGGTATTAACAATGGGAGGCAAGTCATAGCTTTCATGGCTCGTGCCCCTTGTGTCTTTGAAAAGTAAAAATAAGGATTTTGTGAGAGATCTTTGAAGTTCTTTTAATGGGACTGTGTTTAAAAAGCCAATATATTTATTTGTTCATGTCCTGAGAAGCCTGATATTGAGCTTCTCAGTTAAAGTTGAGAAGATTTCAAATTCCTTTCATGACTTCTAAGCTTGCTGAACTTCTAACATCTTATGTAAAAATTTCTCAGGTATGAGCATTGCCCGAAGGGGGATTTTTATTTTTTTTTTTTAAGAAACAATTGGTGCTCTCTGAAGTGTCAAAAAATATTCTATTGGAATAAAATTCCTGCAGTCACACATTGTGCAGCTGTTACAAGAAGCTGGTAGGGAAGTGGGGGAAATTTGGCATGGAGCTGTAGCCCTCTGTGAACCAGTCAAGTTTTCTTCAAGTTGGCAACTATCTACTAAATGCCTTGGCAATCAGCAGTTTTTTATTTGCCTCGGGAAATGCACTCTGCAAATGACATTGTGTGAACAGGCATGTTCTGCACAGCTGGGTCACCGAGGGGGTGGACACCATCCCGTGTTGGGAACTGCCTGGGGAAATAAGGATATGGGCCCTGGGTGACAGAGAAGGCTGGTAGCTGTGGTGTGTCTGTGTGCATGAATCTAATGAAGCAGGGTTCAGCTTTGCACATTCGTGTACATCAGCGGTACAACCGGTGTGCCGGCAGCGCCCTGGCCCGGGGTTTGCCGCGCGGCAGTGCGGGCTGCGGACGCTGGGGGGCAGCACCGAGCTGCGGGAAGCGCGCAGGCAGCAGCGGCTGCGCTGCCAGCCCTGCCTGCCCTGCCAG